AGTTTTATATGTTCTGATATACACTGATAATACAGTCTCTGTATACAAAAACGGGATTGGGTTAAAACCTAAAAACTTGCAGCGAAATTGGCCCAAGAAGGGGCACAATTTCATTATCTCTTTCACTCTCCTAATTGTTTTGATTATGTTGACTAATTTCATTTAACTCTAACTTTAGAATTCGTAATTAACTTACTTAATTTCATTACCTCTTTCACTTCTTTATATTGGTTTACTATTTAAACATATTTTGCAATCATTTATTTTTATGTCGAGTATACCAGTCAAATCTATGTTCTTCAAATATATATTCTTTAATATTTTTCACTTAACTATTTTACTATAATTGAAATTGTTTTAAGTTAGGCGAAACTTTTAATTAAAAAATGGCTTTTCATGCTCAAATGAATCATATTGGTTTAAATTTTCGAAAATTAATTAAATAAACTATTTTAGTCTAGTTTTTTGTTAAAATTTTAATCATTTGTAATTTAAGTCAAACGTTCCTAGAAGATCCTCTTATCTTGAAAATTAAAAATTATTCTTTGTTAAACTGTTTTTACAAATTAATCTTTTCCAAAAATAAAATAGTAAAAAATATTATTAACTTAAGCCGTAGGATAACCACATGTTAGTGGATGCTTCAAGTGCCCTAAAAACCTTCTTGAAGCGTAAATAAGAATCTCTTGCCCATTTTCTCTAAATTTATTAAGATTTAATCTGTCAAGATCTTTTTAAATTATGTTTTCTAATTTCTTTAAAAAAAATTAAGTGGCGACTCTTTTCTAAGTATTTTTCTTAAATTGTTTTATACTTAGAACATTTCAAAGTGATTTTTCTAAGGATAAATAAACTATGGCATAAAAGAAATCCCGACTCTGTTGGGGATTTAATAGGTTCTAACCATACTAGACTTAGGTTAATTATTAAGTTTTTAGCATATGTTACTTGCTTGCTTTATTTTTCATGCCTAATATTTTATTTTTCATGCTCATGTGATATAATTATTTTGTTTATCTAAATTGTTTATTTGTTACCGCTTTATATAAATTGTTTAGTTGATTACTTCTTTATAAACTGTCATTTCGTTAACATTTCTCCACTTCATGGAAATTCACACTATCACACGTACACGCCAGGTGTGCTTTGCGCACCTGCAAACATCTTTCAAAATTTTCAAAGTTGGAAGAGTTGGCATATGCGCGGGGTGTCCAAATCTTTTTCTGTATGACCGCGTAGCCTCCTTACTCGAGTTGTCCACTCAGGATCCTTGTGTCTAGAAAACCAAATCTTAGAAAATATAATATAGAGCTAAACCACCCCTCAATTTAAGTCATGCATGCATATACCTTACGGGGATCGATCTTGCATGTCGATCCCACATTTAAGAAGTCCACCTTTATGTTGACAGGTTTCACGACCCAAAAACCAAAAGCATATTTTTTTTAATGTGACAATGATAGACGAATCCAAACCTAATTTTGACATAGTGAGTTCGATTAGCTGAAAATTTGGGTGTCTTTGTTGTCACAAATTAATGGCTTGGATCAATCTATCAAAATCACATTATGTTTGACGTTTTGGCCTACCTTTCACATAAAAAGGTCACAAATCTAGCATGTGATATAAATTATTTGTTTGTTGCTTGATATAATTGTTATGTGTTGTGATGTGTCATTTAGTATAAAGCAGAATTAATCTATTTTTTAGAGCACTCTAAGCATATATTAAAATTCACAACAACAAAGTCTGTGAAGTGTCATTCAAGTTTCTCAGAAATATTTTAATCTTTTACTCCAAAAATCTCTACATTTTTATTTCATCTGTCACAGGAAAGTCGAGTTGCTATAATGTCTAGAAAAGGCGTCAACACACCAAATCGACCTATTACTTTGGTTAATGACGGAAAAACTAAAGAGTCAATGTTCAAAAAAATTATCGAGACTAAAGAGAGGATAGTTGCAGCCAAAAAAGACTTGGAATACTTGACCAAACTGAACGGTTGCTACGAGAGAGAATTATTGAGGTTGATAAGGAAACAACCTCAGTGAAAAGAAAGATTGCAAAAATCGATCAAAAGATAATTAATATCACTAAAGCAACTGCAAGGATCCTCGAAAGTGAACGGGAAGCTAAATTTTGGGAATGCTTCTTCCATGAGGGAAAAAGGGAAAGCAAAAGAAGGTTCAAATGATGAGAGCACCGGATCGTCACCCTACGGCAAAAAAGAAGTTTGGGGTTGATTTAGGTTCATGTAATCCATCTCTCATGTTCGTCATTTTGTTTTTAAGTTTATTCGTAGTCAAGAACTAGGCGTGACTTGAGCCCATAAGGGGTACGTAAGAAGCTCTTTTCGAACCTAGTCTCTCTCTCAATTTTGGGAAGGGTATGTTTAAGTTATCTTATGTAATTTGAATTATGTCGGGCCTGATTTTATTGATGGATACATAGACAGCCTAATTAAGGTTCAATCCCTGTCTTTTTAATTTTTATTCTCCTTTATTAGTGAAAGATTATGAATAGTTTCATCTACAAAGCATATGAATAAAAAAAAAAATTTGTTTTGTGTGTTTGTGTGTGTTGTGTTTTGTAGTGGTCCTAGTACGTTTGGTGTAGGGTGTGAGTTTGCGTGTGTGGAGTGGAAGTGTGGTAGAAAATGGGGATGAAAATGTGGTTGTGGGGTTGTGGTTAAGTGGTGGTGAGGGTAATGGGTAGGTTACTTTTTTTTTAAAAAAATTGTTGTTAATAAATAAAAATATAATAATAATAAGTAATTGTTTTGAAATTAATAAAAATAGAGAATTAAATAGCTAGATCAAAAAATATAATCAAAATATATTTACTAAATTTGAATAAAATAAAAATAATATGTACTTTAAAGTGTGACTCTATTTTTATTATTTTCAAATTTTTAAAAATAAACTTAATAAAATAAGATAAAAATTAAAATATTTAATTTAGATTTATAAGATATTAAAACTTTAAAAATAATGATAAATTTCAATTCGATAAAATATTACGTGTATACAATATTAAGAAAAATTCATAATTAGTTAGCAATATCATATTCATAAAGTTGCACATAGAACAAATAAACAGACACTATAGAAGCATTAAACTGTAAAATCAAATGTAAACGGTAAGATATTATTTATTTTACTGTTTGTGATATATTTTATCTATTTTTTTCTCTTCTATATAAAATACTAGTATGAACTGTATATTGTTATAAGTTTGCAGATACGAGTCTAAAGGTAAATATTGTTGAATCCTGAGGACAATTTTGTGCACAACGCAATCTGCATTTAATGAAAATCCAAAGTTAGCAATAAAAATGTTAGAGAAAGAAACTTGAGCACTAGTTGACAGATAAAACCAAAAGGTCTTTACTTTTTAGTTTCAATACTTTATTTCAATGTAAAATTGGGGACATGGACTTTTTAGCTATCAATAAAAAAAAAAAGCTAGTTGGACAAAATGTCAGCCAAGATACTACGTAATCAAATTTATCATGTTATCTTTTTCAAGAAAGCAGAAACAGTAGAATGCAGGTGTTAGCTCACTACATGCAAAATCTTGTCTTTGACTCTGTCACCTTGGTATTTATTGTATCAGGACCTCCATTTCTTGTGAAGTTAAGAGTAACATGACCTGTACCAAACAGGTGAACAACAAAGGAAAAATACCATTTAGCTTTTTTGTTCTGCAATAGGATAAATATAGAGTAAAAGTGTCACATGATTGCCCTCTGGATGACTTCTTCATATACTGTGTTAGATGTAGAATGATCGTCATGGTTTGTTGGTGTAGGTGGTCGGATATGTAATCTGACAAAATAGGAACTCCGTGCTCTCGATAAAGCAACATAAAGCTGACCATGTGAGAACACAGGTTCTCGCAAGTAAACTCCGACAAAGTCTAAAGTCTGACCTTGTGCTTTATTTATAGTCATAGCAAAGCATAATCTAATGGAAAATTGTGTTCTTTCAAATTGAACATGAACTTTTTCATCTTCTGATGATAGCAACGGTATTCTTGAAATGAACACATGTGTATTTTTAAAATCGCCGGTGGTAATTTTATCACTAATAACATGACTTTTTAAAATCAGAGCATGTCAATCGGGTGCCATTACATAAACCTTCACATGGATTTAGATTTCGTAATAATATGATTGGACAATTTATTTTTAGGCGTAATATATAAGGGGGCAAATGAAGTCTTCTCTCTTTCCATATCGTACAGCAGGAAGAGTTTGTCTGAAATCACCTCCTACGACTACAACTTTTCCACCAAATAATGCATTTGTATCCATCAGATCTTTTAACCGCAAATTGAGAACTTCCACCGTTTTTCTTTTAGCCATGAAACTTCATCCCAAACAATCAATTTTGCTTCACGAATTAAAGTTGCAAGTGAGCTTTCTTTACTTATATTGCAACTTGAATTTTCATCCAGATCAATTGAAATTTTAAAACGTGAATGTGCTGTACTTCCACCTGGAAGAATAGAAGCAACAACACCAGAGGTAGCCGTTGCTAAAGCTACATATCCCATAGATCGTATAGTTGCTAATAAGACACGATATAAGAAAGTTTTCCATGTACCTCTTGGACCATCTATAAAAAATGCTCCTGGTTTGTTTGAAAATATTCTCTCTGTGATCATATTATATGCAATCATTTACTTTTTGTTCAACTTCTTGTGTAAAAGAACATCGTCTTCGCTAACAGTGATAAATCTCTCAAAATGAACATCCTTTGCTTCTCTTGATGCTGCAGAAGATCGGATATTCTCTGGAATGAGCTCGTATTCATTTATATCATGGTCCATAGAATGCAAAATCTCATTAATATGATTCAAAGCCTGATACTGAATTTCTTTTTTTCCAATAGTCTGTAACATTTTATAGTCTTCGACTATTGAATCTTCAAATTGCTCCCATAATTTTCTTGGGTTGACAGGAACACAATAAACCAATAGTGTAGCAAATAAGCGCCTTAAACTATGGGCATCTGATAACTGGCAGCTTCAGACATACAGTCTACGAAGCTGTTATCACAAAGTAATAATCCTCTTTTCTCCACAGATTCTCTAAAAGTAGTACAACGCTCTCCATCCACTGTTAGAAGATCCTCGTATGATGTTGGCGCTCGAACATGCATTAAAAGTAATCGAAGATAATATTGTTTTCCCTCTGTAGGGTGGCATGTCATAATTCGTCCAACAACACAATGTTTTTTCCTACTTGCCCAAAATTTGCCACTGGATAACCACACAAAATACTCAGGGAACTGTTTGTACAGTAAGTTGAGTTCAATATCATATTTGTCAGTTCTGTTCATATAGAAAAATTCAGTTAACATTGTTTTTCTCATCGTTGGATTGTTCAGAATTGAATTTATATCTGTATTGCTCTTAAAAGAAACAAATTGTTGGCCTTGAAGGTGTAACTGAAGGCGATAAATGCTGGGAGACATTTCATTTATAGCAAAACCAAAGAGACACCATACATCCTCTGGAGGAGAAATCCACCTAGCCGATCGATATTCCTTTACCTCATCTATCTCTATGGGTGCATCATTATTTTGTACAGAAAAAGCAATTTTGTCATGGCCATTACAAATGTATTTGTAGAGATACTTCACAACTTTGATGTCGGAGCAAACTTCAACATTTATATGGCAGTTGAATTTTCCAAGTAAATACGGATTGTATGGAACCACCCAAGAGTTATCTAAGTATTGCTGTCTCACTTTCACAATTTCTCCTATATTTCGTCTTTTATAAATTGGATAAGAATCGCTTCCTTTTGATGTTTGATCAGCAATCTTTTTGGGATAACCCTTTTTTTGTGCAAGAATTTATTGAATTTAAACTACCACAAGGACCAAGCATCATATGCTTAATGACAAGCCTGCGTAAATCTGATTCTGTATTTTCATCTGGTAATTCTGCTCTAATTATATCATCATATGCCTCTGCTGTTAATAGTTTGTGCTCATTACTCAATATAATAAGGAAATGAGCATGGGGTAAACCCCGTTTCTGAAACTCGATAGTGTACATATAAGCAACAACCTTTCCAAAGATATTTCGCTCGAGTATATCCGTTTTCAATTCTTCTACTTTAGCTCTGAATATTCGGCTAATCAGATCAGGCCTATTTTGTACCTCATCACTTGACGATAGATGTTCTTTTAATTTTGGCCAAGATGGATTACATGTCATAGTTATAAATAGATCAGGCTTTCCAAAATTTTGAACTAATGCGATAGCATCCATATAACGTTGGCGCATATCTCTAGGTCCACCTGTAAAGGAATTTGGTTGAAATGTTTGTTTTCCAACACTAGAAGCATCTCGTTCACCAAGTCTTAAAACATCAAAAAGTCCTTGTAGTATACTCATTCTGAACAAATCTTGATTAAATGAAACAAAGTCCAATATCGGTGTTTCTAGTGTTATGTATGCATCAACAACATATTGTTGTAATAATCTTCCTATATGCAAAATTTCATCTTTGTCATCATTTCTCATTTGAAGTTTATAACAATAATATTCTCGAACCGAAACTGCATCTCTTTTACTGTTTCCTTTTTGTAAAACCTGGTCTTCCATATCAAGGTATCCATCAGTAAAGGCAAAAATTTTTATACTCGGCAACTGGTCAAACTCAGACAGAGGAAGATTTCTACAAATATTTTGTAGACAGTGAGATTTTTTAATATCACAATGCCAGCCACCCTGTCCGTGCGAAAATAATAATGGATACTGCAAAGGGTCATGACACACAAAATAATAGCTGACTCTCTGTGTTTTGTCGAAGTGTATAAATTTGAACATCTGGTGCATGAGTAGTACAATTATCATTTTCATCGACCCATATTGCTGCAATTTCTATAGTAGTAGGTAGGTTATATACTCCTTGGTCCAATCCAGCATCACATTTTAGTGCTATGTGGAAATTTTACAAGTTCGGTATGCTTGCTAGAGATCGGAGAAACATTGAGAAATGGATTATCTCTGAGTATGTTCATAAGTTTAATCACTATTATTTCATGTAAAGAATCTATCAAGTGATGCATTTGTCCTTGAACCTTAAATGTATAAATACCACGATTTTCCTTGGCTAAATCTCTGTCATAAGTAACACCAAGTGAAGTAAATGCAAATAGATTATTATATGTTCTGATGTATGTTTGGAAATGTTTGGATTCTGCATCAGTTTTCATATATAAATTTTTCAAAGCAATTGCCATTCGATGAGAGGTTAATCTGATCGTACCTTTGCCACAACAGAATCCGGGGGATTCGTATTAGAATCTCTTGGTAGCACAAAACTTATGTCACATATGGGGAGCACCCCCTAGAAGTAACATGGTGTACTTGACCTCTCGGAGGTCTTATACAAGACCATAGTTATCATTCATTGCATCGACATAGTAAATTTAGCGAAAAATTTAAAACTTTTCATAGCACATCATATACTAGAAACATCACTTCGTATATATATAAAATATAAGTCATAAAACATATTTACACCCTAAGTCTCTTTATCATCTTAGACTCAACAACCTTAGGATACATTAGGGACACGACCCTTAAAACATAAGACATAACTATATAACTTTTAATAAACTTTACATTAAGATATGAGTAGGAAATACTTGGAACTTAAGGACCCATTTCCTTGAGCTTGGGAATCACATATCAAGCTCCTCAATCATAGACATCCTTTAATCATCCATAACCTACACTTTGTGTAAAAAGTAGAGAAGAATGAAATTAGTACAAAAATGCACTAAGTATGACAACCATGTAAAAACATGCATTTAAAAGGGAGATTTTCTTTAAAATCATACTTCATGCCTTTTTGAGTAAATCTTCATAAAACTCTTATTCAATAACATTTACATCATTCACATGCTTCATTTAACCATATTCAAAGGTCAAACATCACATAAGATCACATATAGAATTTATTGCATTTTTAAGGCACATTATCGTAAGCTACATCAAGTCATACATATATATACTTCTTTGCATATACATCTTCATTAAACCTTGTTCATGACCCCAATTAGTCTACTAATGTAATGCACATGTGAAGCCCTAACCCCACACATGCTTAGTAGACCCTTCATGAGACCACAAACCTTGGCATTCAATTCATACATCAACAAGTAAGTGAAGGCAACTTCATTCATGTCAATACAAAACCTTCATCATATAGTCATTTAGCCCAACATAGTGCATATAAGGATAATATCACATCTCATAAATTCATACCATGCACACCTTCATAACAAGTAGACCAATACTACAAAGTCATGCATATGGACATAAACATAATCATACATGTTAGGTCACCTTCATAGGACTTCCTAAGGAGCTACTTGTGCAATGTCTAGATGGGTTCATTACTTCCACCTATCCTAAGTAACTTACCTTAAATCCTCCTAGTTAGGATCCTATTCATTTACTTTCATTGTCCATTTTACTTCAGGGAAACTATAGCCTTAACCGACACTAAGACCATGGGTGCTAAACATGTAATTTGGTGTTGTAGAGCCTTACAAATGGAAGGTGTTCTTACCTAGCCAAGGTAAAACATTAACACATGCTAGCATATTAAGTGATATCACATTGCTAGATCCTATGTGGCAAGCATAGTTATGGAACTTTGAGGTACATGTGAAAACCCTCTTTATGCAAAGATTAGGCATTGTAGTTATTCACTTACGAAAACCCTATTTATGCCCATTGAGGCATTGTGGTTAGCCACCTCATGAGATTTATGGTGACCTACCTCCCCACATTTGGGAAGGGACAAACACTCATATTCAAGTCACTCGGTTCTAAGCTAAGTTTCCTTTATTAAGAACCTTCGTTAACATTACTTTATAAAATGAAGGCTTAGGAGATTCACTCCCCATATGCTTAGCTCATAGGTTATAGATGAGAAGTATTTTCATCAACCTCTATCATGTGAGAAAATCCTTTCACGTGGACATATCATATGTATTAGCACTTATCTAGTTTAGGATACACTTGAGCACACCTTTCAAGACTCCTCTATTGACTAAATTATCATTCATGTGTGCGTGCATACATATATGTGAGTAAATCTTTCACATAACACCTTAAGTCACATATGTTCATACATACATATTCATACATATAACAACCAAAACTAGAACTATCCTATCAAGGTACACATGTGCAATGCATAGGCAAAGTCCCATACCCTTGCCCATACTAGTACACCTATCAATTCATCCTAGTAAGGAATACATAACATACTTCACATACATATACTTTACATGCATAGTAGTAGACACTAGTGAATATGAGAACTACCTTTCATTTAGACACCATGACCTATACTACTTGTAACATGCATGTTAAGTGAGTGTGTGTGTACATTGGTCAACATGTCACATAATGGCTATCAACAACACATTGTGGCAGCCACCCTCTTAGACCATAATACTCTTTCAAGCATAAGCCACACAACACACAATAGCATAGGAGACAAGTCAACTTCATATTACACTTAAGACTCCTAACTTGTGTTATTCATGCATTCACATAGGGGTACATAGGTAAGGTATTATTAACCATTTTAAATCATCAATGGCAGCACCTATACTTTATCTAACATGGATATACACATGCTTACACAATAGTCATACAACCTAAATCACAACTAGAATAGGAAAATAGACATAAGCTTCACATGGTATCATCATAGGCACATGTTCATATATTCATCAATTTGCCTTCATGCCCATGGTCAACACATATATAGATAGATAATAGAGTAAACACCGCCACCAAAAGTGGACCATACCACAATGCCATACAAGGCTTCATCAACATTACTATAAAGAAATAGAGAAGTAAAAGAGTAGAGGAATTCTTACCAATCCTTTAGCCTTTGGTTATCATTGACCATTACTACTCTTTTATCAATAAATCAAGTATAGGGCAGTAGCTTAAGGTACCATAATCATTCATGAAGCTAAGCATAAGCTACTACAAGGTCATGCTACAACTAGTACAACATATCATTAACATGCTAGAATGTAGAAGGATATAGACCATCAACCAACTTCACTTGCATGGATTATAGATCATATTTCATCAATAATATCAACCAAGGCAGTAGCTAATCATACACTTAGTCATAACGAAATCATACTTATGAATTTCGTTAAATCCATTAAACTATCATTCAATGTAGAGTAGAGAGAATAGGGCATCTTATAAATTTTTCCAAAGTATTAATCATCAATCATATTTTACCAATAAAGTACATGCTAGGCAGTAGATAATGAAATTATAGTCTAGATGAGACACTACTACAATTGCCATTAAGGTCGAATTCACTACAAACATGCTTAATATTAGGTGTTCATGGAAGGTAATTTACACAGGTTGATCTTATTCAAACTATCATGAGTTGATCCACATTAAATCCATTACATATAATTCATACTCACATAACGTTATAGGCAGCATCTATAGACAATTAACCATGATCAATTCATATTACAACTACCTAACATCAAGATCACAAGTTACTACTTGGTAGACTAGAAGAACCTAGATCAATTCAAACCAAACCTTCTTTACTTTGATCATAAAAGATTTATATCCACAATTCAACCATGGTATTAACCTAAAATAGTAGCTGCAAGAACCACAACTTAATCGAAATGCATTTCTTAATCAATTGAGGACCCATATTACAATGATCATAACGAAGACTAGGCTAGGCATGTTCAAACCTCCATGCACTGATTCACATGGATAATTCATCAATGATTCACCATCAATATACATAATAGACAGTAGACATAATCATATTAACATAATTGAAATAAAATCGGTATGCATAAGATCAAGATCATAAAGCCATACATAAGCTAAAATCGAGTTTGTGAAAGAACATGGGTTCATTATGCAATAGGATCGAAAATCACGTCCAAGTCAGTAGATAATCATCAATACATTCATATTATGCTTTTGACATCAATTTAAAAAAGAACCCTTGGCTAGAATGAAGAAGAAGAACTTGATCATATTTTTCTCTTTGAAAACTTTGAGATTAACTCTCTAGATGGAAGGATAACTAGAGATGAAGGATCACCATACCTTTATCTACATTAAAATATCCAAAACTTGATGATTCATACATGGAAATCCAAGCTCCAAGCTGTTCTTGAGCTTCACCAACAATGGAGGGTTTGGAGAGAATATTTTTGGAGGAAAAAGTCTAATTTGGTGAATTGTATTGGGAGTGGGATTGATCACGTTTTACTCCCTTATATACAACCAAAAGTAGCTAAATAATCCATTAGAATCAGGTTAGGACGTGGGGTGAATTTCTCATTCACCCCTTAAATAAAACAAAGGCAGGACACCTGTGTACAGCGCACCACCGATGGAGCAATCGGCTGGCCGCAGGTCAGTCTACAGGCCGTCCTTTGGCTTTCGTCGATTGGTACTTGGCCAATTTTTGGGTTAAGACCTGCCCAAGATAAGTACCAATCGATGAGACCTCACCAACGGGCCGTTGGTTGACCCACTGGCCGTCGTTTGGTCCGTCGATT